CCTTTTCGCCTTCAACAAAAATAAATTATTTTAATATATCCAAGTATAATTCAAAACCTAATGACAGATAGCATGTATCTGTTTAGAACCTAAGAAAATACTGCCGTTGTTTTTTTTACTCAGATGCTTAAAACTGATAAATATGTGAGGACGGGAGAAAAGATCGCAAATTTAAAAATCTAATGATAAAGTTCCTTGTTACACAATACCAAAGGACTAACTGCATAAATATTCACCAACACAAAGGTGTAAAGCGTTTATGTCTTAGATTTGTTTTCAAGACTTTTAATTGTAAACGCTATTTTCCAAGCCTAATCCGAACCCCTAACTCAACCACTAACCCTGATACCTAATGGTAATTTAACTCCTAACTGTTAATCTTAACTAAACTTCGAGTCTTTTTAGGCTTTTATGTAATAAATTACTAATTTATATTAAGAAAATATCGTGGCTGGTTGTAAATTGATTTTCTCAGGTTCACTTTGATAGTTGCTGATGATCATTAGTATGGAATATTTTTACTGATATCTATATCTAATACGCTATATTTCACTTAGTAATTGACTTAAATATATTTAATAGCATTGCTTTTCATTAGAATTCTAACTTCATCAATCTTTTCCGATATCAATATGAATATAAATTAATTTTAAACTATAGTCATATGTTGAGTGCACTCATTATCATTGAATGAGATAATCTAGTTTTTCCTATAAAAAGTATAAATAATTAAATGTTTTTATTAAGTAGAATTCGTATATTTCAAATATGATTATCTGCGTTCGTAACTTTGAATAGCTGAAAAACTATGACCAAAGACTTCAAAAATGTTTACAGCTAAAAATAAATATTTATCTTGTTACCTTATTATCCGTCCTGTTTAGAAGTTTACAAATAGGTCTTTTGAAGGTAATTAAGACATCACTTATTGTGATAAACACAATTGCATGTCTCAGATTTTATTGATGAATATGTAAGTTACAAGCAATCGAAATTTTCGATTATGTGAATACCTTTTCAATTTTAGTAAAATGTCTGAGATTCAGCAGAACTTTTTCGACCACTGCTATGATGATAACTGCATAAGGATCTAATAATATCTTTGAGTTGTTTTGCTGTTGCAATAACTATACGGTGGATTTATGATGAATGATAATGCTGTATTTTTAGCAAATGAACACAACAAATACATTGACAATAATCAAGTCTTTGTCCCTTGTTTTTTCATTCTGGACAACCGTACACATTGATACTAATGAGAAAGGTTAGAAAATGGCTAAATAATCAATCATTACCAACTCCTTCAGGTGATTATTTAATTCAATTCTACTTATAATTAGTAACAGTATTGAATTTTGGAAATCTATTATTTGTTTTCACAATGAGAGTTACACATAACACAGATAACAACTAGGAAGTTTATCCAATTAAAAATAGATTAGATTCAACTACATTCAATAAGTCATGATCGTCAACCACACTTATTCTAACTATTAGTATATGCCTAATGAATAGTATAAATGACACGTTAGTTAATGCATAAAGGCTTGTTAATTATGTACATCACTGTCTAGTACATTATAATTCCTATGAACATTTTTTTAAAAAAATAAACCATATTTATTCGTTTGTCACTAATTTTAAAAGCCTCATTTTAAAACGAATGACATGATGAAATCTTCATAAATCTTTAACATAGGGTACATCATATGAATCAATTAAAAAATATTATATTATTGTTACTAATGCATATAATTAATTGGTTTGTAAAATAAAGAAATATTTACTACTTAAGAGGTGGTCTAACTCATAGTTTCACTACATTATTATACAGTTTCCTATTGATTGTTAGATTTTTACGTCTAGACTATGAAAGAAAATCAAAATTTATTTAAACAATCTGTAAACCATTAATAAAGTTATTAGTATTTTATTCTATTGATATGTAAACAGCATATGCGTACTCTCATCAATGATAAGTATATTTCACTGTCATTAAACTATTGATGTGGTCATTTTATTCTTTTAGTCAAACAAGAATATTTTTGACAGGTGATGTACAGAATGTCATTCGAGCAGTATATATATATATATATATATATATATATATATATATATATATATATATATATATATATATATATATATATATATATATATATATATATATATATATATATATATATATATATATAATTAGTTATACCATATTCATCCCTAAGTAATTAAATCTAACACTATCTATTAACATTTTGTAAGTGGATATTTCTTGTTTGTTCATATTAATATTTTCAGGTTTCTGTTCAAATTGTAGATGGCATTATATTGATGACTGAAAATTGACTGAACTGTTTATTAGAATAATAACTCTACAAACTGGATTCACTAAGTAATTTTAGTTTTAAGATAGATTCTTTTATGAAATGATGAAAATGAACTATTGAAAATTATAAGTAATGAAAAACTATTTTATACTAGTTTGAGACTTCTCAGGAGTGAGTACAGAACAGAATCGAATCAGTGAGAATTAAGTTTCAAAGCGAGTATGATACATTCGAACTACAGAGTTTGAATCCAGTCATCAGGATTTGTAAAATCAGTCATTGCACAATAAAGTACCTTATCAATGATGCTCGAAGCGTGGAAAAGACAAATAATTTTCGTTTACTTCTCAAAAGTCCAATAAAATTGACGGGGACGGAAGTCTGGAACGGGAATCATTTCGACTCCGCAGTTCTATGTATCGTCCTCGGTAATAGACCTATGAATTTATCAGTAAGTAGAGAACGAAACTAAAACAAATGAGGAGTCCAGTGCTTCCTAGTTCCAGAGATTCTCTAAACAATAATATTCCTTAACAAAAGTCTATCTTCAAACAAAAATAATTGTCAATATTCATTCAACTAAGAAAGTGGTTTGAATTTATGAAAATATAAACATATTTACCTGTTCTGGTGTTATTATTTCAATTCTCAAACTTAGGATATAATCAACAATGCAATACATGTATTGGGTGATTGTGTTTTGATGTCTCTGACAATTTTTTTGATTTTTCTCAGCTTTGTTATGGTTACAATTCTGATATATGTACCAAGATTTTGTATCTTAGACCAGTTTTAATGCTACATTATTCCTCATTTTTAATTTTAGGTATCAGTAATCGATTCCATTAATGTCTCAGTTACTAAACATGTAATTTCTTTAACCTTATTTTCTTTTAATGACAGAAGTATTAAACAAAATTTTCAAAGGCTTACTAGTTTTTTTGTCACAGACTATATAACTGAAGAAAAACACTTCAATAATTTTCTATATTTTATGCCACATATCATATTATCAATATTTAATTACTGTTGACAGAAATAAAACGCTGAATCATTGAAAGTTGTGTATAAAAATAATTAACTGTCAGATTTGCATTCAATATTTACACACTAATCAGACTTGTAGATTTAGTCGAAAAAGATAACCACCAACATTCCACGTAATTTCAACACAATAAACTTTATAGTTGAAAACATGAGTCAACCGAAGCTAGATCACCATGAAAAACCTGGAAGAACTGAACGGCCGTTTCGTCCTACCGTGGGACTCCTCAGCAGCGCGCATCCAAGATCTCGCCTCGCGAGATTTCAGGTTTTCCATGGTGGTCTATTTTCAACTGACTTATAATTTCAACTTTAAAATTGCTAAAATCTCCACAAAACCTCTTTCTGACAATGAACTTTATTTCAATATATATATATATATATATTATTGTAATCCGTTATATAAACTCATTGAGAATTAAATTTTTTTGACATCAGTTAAATGGTATGAAATATGTTGAGTTAATCAGAGAATAACAATTACAGAGGTTACATGAATACGTTAGAGTAGTAAATACATTTCTTTTGGATTGTCTATTTAACATTACAATATTTTGATGGCAAAAACCGAGGAAATAAAAATTTTGTGAATATTTTAATTATAGTTTTCTAGATCACAGTAAAGTCTCATTTTTATATTCAGAATTTCTGAAGGTGTTATGACATAACCATCTGACTATAATATGTTTAGTAACTGGGATTACGAATGTAAAACTTCGGTTGATGGTATCGTCTAAAAGATTTTTTCGGTAAATCGTCTTTACTGATGTATTGAACCATTGTAGTTTATTTATTACTCGGGTGTGTATGGAAAAGTATGGTGCGTAATATATGGATGAAGATGCACATAACCCCCACCTGTAAATAAAACTAATGAGATCTACTTTAACATTGCATCTGGTCTAATTATCAACTTTTACCATCATTTTGCATGAGGTCTGGCCACACAAATTTTAGTAATGAGTATTTATTTATGTTACATTTATTATCAATATGTCAGGTAATTGGAGGTAATCAATAATAAACCTTGGGCCTAGTTTTCGTGTTATTTGGCGCTTGCCAACAACGTGTACCCACCACACTAATGAAACTGAAGCCTTCAGGTAAATTCAAACCAGAAACTCCCAGTTCTACAAACTGAGAAGTTACCTCTGAGCTATTACAGGATTTGTTGAACTTCTGGAAGGCTGAAATATTTACAACTGACTGATCACTGAGTCATAACTAATATCCCATTTGTCTAGTCCATCAGCTCTGATGAAGCTTTGCTGGTCACGTTCTTGACCAATACTACGAACTAACGTTCCTATAGATTTATGTAATTCAGTAATAAATTAACAAGCTTTGATAACCTTCGTATTTAGAACTCCAGTGTTTCAGATTTCTTTCCACCAAAGTTGGTTTTAACAGACACAAGATTATTCCAGTATGATATTAATAATAATAATAAGAAGAAGAAGGAATGTGTATGGTTATGAAATAATGAGCTTTTTGCGTAGTAATCTTTATAAAATCCACTGAAATTTCAGGATCAAAGAAAATATTTAACCTTCATTCTTCTTGTCTGACTGTAATTTTAGATATGAAATAACGATAATTTACAAAATTTTAAAATTATATATTACAACTCACTTTAACCTGACTTTCAGACATTCCTAAGAAATAAGCTAAACGAGCTCTTTCTGGACCAGCTAAATATTTTGTTTGTTCAAATGTTTTCTCCAATGCAAATATTTGTTGGCCAGAAAACGTTGGACGTGTATGCTTCTTTTTTCCATCTTTATCGATAGCACCAAGTGTATTTTCTGATTTGAACAAAAAAAAATCGATACAGAAGAATAAATATCACTCACTTATCAATTTCTTAATATAATAAAAGCTACTTATTCGATAATTCAGAATGCTAAAATAAACAACAACAAAATATTATCAGAAAGGTGGTTTTGTGGAGATGGTAGTAATTTTAATAACTGAATTAATTAGTCGATCTAAGCTAGGCCCCCATTGAAAACCTGGAGGCACTGGATGGACATCTCGTCCTGGTATGGGACTCTTCAGCAATAAGCATTCACGATCCCGCACATGGGATTTGAACCCATGACCTTCGGTCCGACGCACCTCTAAACCACTGAGTCGGCATCCACTGGTGTTAATGTCTAGCTTCAATCGATTCATGATCTTTGCTCAATCTTTCATCTACTATATGTGGTGGATAACTGTCTTCAAGATGGATTTCCTGCAGTTCTAGTGAGCAGCCGTGACTAGTGGAATCCAGTCCTTGTCGAGTAGAAACAGGCGTCTACTCCATATAATGGATGAAGAATTATGCAAGACCATGGATTGATCGGAGTTGGACATCGTTACCACTGGATGCATACTCAGTGGTCTAGAGGTTAAGCGTTCGTGATTGAAACTGAAGGTCATAGGTACGAATTACATGTGCAATGCTGACCGCTGAGGAGTCTCATACCAGGACAAGATGTCCCTCCAGTGCTTCTAACGATCCCGCCTCGCGAGATTCGAACTCAGGACCTTTTTTATATGGTATTAAAAATAAGTAGTAGATAGACAATGACTTGATCTAATCATATTTTTTATATTCGATTAACTACTATTTGGATGATATTGAAACTTAAATGTAACCATTTACTGCTTTTAATAGTGAAAATTGTTTAATGTAACATTAAGTTAAACAATAATTGTCGATAATTCCCTTAATTACATACAAATTATGGAAGCTTTATAGTCATACTTAGAGTAAAAGGTAGTTTGAATACTTTATTATTTTTACGTCTACCGTTTTTACAGGGAATTCATAAATTTAATTTCTTTTTATAGATCTAAATAAAACAAATATATTCAGCATTCCAATGTACGATGAAAAGCTTTTGCACATCAGTTATCATTTCTTTTTAAATCGATAAACGACTTAAAATTATACCATCCATTATGATAATCCAGTAATAGATGTGTTAGCCAATAAATACAGAATGACTATCTTTTGAAATAAATCAGTTGCATTGTATAAAAACTATGTCGTTTCATTCTTATCCTTTTACATGTTCTCTCTGACGTTCAACACACATTTAAATATCCGACTAATGAGGATGAGTTCCTTTTGAACATTGAAAGGTTCACTCGTTTCGGTGTATCTATCTGCGAATTTATCATAAACTTTTCAATAGTTTACAATGGCTTTTGCATCATGATTCTATATTGTTTGGTTAATGGGTTGTTTTAAGAACCTACTCTTTTCGTTTATTATAAATTTATATTGTTTGTAATTAACAAGAAGCTTTTCTATTCTACAAGTTTTCTTTTCTTTTTCCTCTCATTTTATTTCATTGTTTTAATGACTGATTATAATCGTTTCAATCAATTAGCCTACAATATGCATGTAATGATCAATATCGGTTGTAAATTTTAAATAATCATTATTATTAGTGATAATTTACACTTATCTTATTACGGCTTACGTTATCATGTCAGACAACTTTTAAAAAAAACACATGAAGAATTAACGGACAATTAACAGTGATAAAATATACGTCGACCGTTGAACTGTTATTAACTTAAACAATAATATTTACATTTGAGTAAAAAATAAAATCGCATAAAATTTAATTATCGTCAATAAACACAGTAAGAAACTGTAGTTATTATTATTACCAATATTATTATTATTATTGTTCAAATAGATATACAAACAAACGTTTATGACGTGTTTATTGTATTTCTGAAATTAATTGTTTCGTTAAGTTACTGAGATAGTTCATTACTATATTTTAATTATATGTAAGTTTCAATCGCTTAATTATTGTTCCGTCAATGGTATATATATGGGACTGTTTAAGTTAGTGTAGACAGATATTTCAGCATTTAGATAAGTGATAAATTCAGAAAACTATCCTTGGAAAAAATAAGAACCAATGAAAAATTTATAATTTTAATAATGCCATATAAGGATAAGCTTAATGTTAACCTTGAAGGGGATAGTGATTTCAAAAACAATCTATGTATGTATGACGGTTTCATACTATTGAGGACCTTCACACTATAATAAAACGGATGTCAATTTGTCATTGATTTCTAATGCTCACTTAAATAAGTGCACTCTATGAGATAAGCTGTAGTCAATTTTCAACCGTCTCAACAACTCTCTCCTCCTGTTATCGTCCATCACTTCGAGTTGAACTTGTGTCACTAATAAATTGATCATATACATTTTATTGAATTTAATTCAGTGGTGCTTGATTCACAATGGAACCCCAGTTAATAATTAAGCCACACATTAAATCTTTAGACTGTGTTCATTGTTTGTTGGAAACTTCATGAGAAAATAATCACAGAAATTTACACAGATTTTATATATTCACATGTATTTCTCGATATTCAAGCAGTTTGTATCTGACATTTAAAGTGAATTAAAAGTTGGTATTAATAATAATAATGTTATTGTAAACTTCTGAGCTAGGCAAATCAAGTGCGCTGTCAATAACTGACTGAAATTCATAACGGGATTTGATGCGTTTCAACTCACTGACGCAATATTGTCTTTTGCCACAATTTCTAGACGACTTATGCTTAGTCCTTCACTTAGACTATAAGTGTTCATTAATCGAAATTTTCAGACTTGGTTGAAAACACACATACGATGACTTCTGTACTTGTAATATAAATCACCTCTGAACTCAAGTATGATCAAAGGAACCTTTGTCATTATTTATACCTTCCCGCAGAAGATTATTAATTTTATTTCAACTGGTGACTTTTATCCAAAAATCAATCCTTCTAGATCAATCTGGACACATACAAACAAAAATTACATACATGTCACTTATGAATCACCTTGACCGCAATGAAATGACGTGACATTGATTTATTCAGACCTGTTTTCGATTGATCACCTAGTATTCTTGGATTGTTCCGTTGTACTATTTAAACTTGGATTATTGTTAATTTGGTTATTTATTCTCCGAAGAAGTGGCTTACACTGAGTCACAAAACGTCAGAAAATCTTATTTTTCTACTCATTGGGATATTACAAATATATTATTTATTTATAACAATCTACCCAATGCTCAATTTATTCAAAATTATCAAATCAAAACTTGGTAATGATACCTACAAATAAATTAAACATTTCATTTGCAAATCTTCCATCAATTATCCTTTACATCCTTCATGATTCTTTTATTTCTCGATTCTTTATATTTCCCTTTCTGTTTTCTTCAGTATCATCTCCACTACCTTCTTTTGACAGGCATTCAACTTGTGACTGGTGTTACATATTACTTGTATCGACAGACATAAGTAGCATACACCACAATAATAGATGAGGAAATATTGGAAACCTAAGAATAATGGACTGTTGTTTTATCATAGTTTAAATCTTCTTGGGTGTATATAATATTCATCCATTTTTGAGGAGTGTAGCATTGTAAGTTATAGTTTTAATTATCTCGTCAAGAAAGAGAACTGAATTTCGATCATTTTTTTGGTAAATGTATATTCTGCACCGATTATCTAGAAATAGTTAGTCAAAATATCAGCGTGAGATAATTAAGACCATAACTAATGGTGGTATAGACATTGTCTCTGTTGTATGAAATAGTAACTACATGGGCTCACTTGCTCAGTGGATCACATGTTTGAAGCAAAACGTGTTGGATTCGAGTAACGATGTGAACATATATGTGCGTAAAACTTCATATTTAGTAATCAAATAATATTTTTTAGTTTGTATAAATTCATCGCTACAAATATCTTCAGATTTATAGGTGAACCACAAAAAAATAAACTGCTGATATTTATTGCTCTATGGGATTTGTTTCTTCATTAGGATATTATTATATTATATTATTATTATTATATTATATGAATGTCATTTCTACTATATAAGTATAAATATATATTATTCATCATGTCTTATTTCTTGTACTATATTTCCTCAGCTAAAGAGTTTATTTCAGTTTATGTGGATACTAACTTTTGCATATCATTTAAGGAGTTCATCTATCCTTTTATCATATAAACCTCTGTAATATAATTTTCAATGTAATATTTTCAAGTTATTCATTATATGGGGATTGTTCGTGGAGAATTTTAGTAATTTTACATATAGTTGAAATCATGAGTCAAGTGAAGCTAGACCACCATGAAAAACCTGGAAGCACTGTACAGCCGTTTCGTCCTATTGTGAGACTCCTCAGTAGTGCGCATTCACGATCCCATCCAGTGTTTCCACGTTTTCCATGGTGGTCAAGCTTCACTTGACTCATGATTTCAACTATATGTAAAAGTTATTCATTATGTTTTGAGAAGATAGTCACATTCATCATATTTTCGTATTAGTCTTATTAACATTTAATTTTTTTCTTTGGTTTTCTAATTATCTTTTCAAAAATTCACATGAATCCAACATCATTTTTCATGTTTTCTGTCGCTATCTAATTCCCTTTCTCCCTTCCTAATTTAAATAAACAAAAATCTACTTGTTCAATAAAACTCATTATATTATTGAAATGGGATTAAGCTGAATATGTTGACTGTAATTTCATTATTTATCATTATTATCACAATCACGAAGATAATCGTTCAGTTTTGACTACAGCAAAAACATTTCTAGATATTCTTGATAACAAAACTTAAAATAATGGTCTATTCGGTCAATTCTGGTTATTGATTGGGTGTACATACATCCTCATACATATACTGATTGAAAGCTAATCCATGCTCACACTATTACTGATTTGTACTTGCGATTTAGTCTATTTTTGAAGCATCGTATGCTACTTAGAATGAA